GTCGCTCTGGATGTTTCTACTCCAGACTCAGTCCACTGCTTCCGCAGGTCCCCCAAGGTCTGGAATCGGCCCTTCTCCACAATCCTCCTCAGGATCCGGTCACCTCTTCTCGTTGTGCAGCGTTTTCTGCCACACTTTTCCCTTCCCACAGACTTCCCACTGAGGTGCCTTGATACAGCACTCTGGGAACAGCCTATTCGTTCAGCAATTTCTTTCTGTGTCTTACCCTCTTGCTTGAGGGTGTCAATGATGGCCTTCTGGACAGCAGTCAGGTCGGCAGTCTTACCCATGATTGCGGTTTTGAGTAATGAACAAGGCTGGGAGTTTTTAAAAGCCTCAGGAATCTTTTGCAGGTGTTTAGAGTTACGTCGTTGATTCAGATGGTTAGGTTAATAGCTTGTTTAGAGAACCTTTTCATGATATGCTAATTTTTTGGGACAGGCATTTTGGGTTTTCATGAGCTGTATGTCATAATCATCAGTATTAAAACAATTAAAGACCTGAAATATTTCAGTTGGTGTGCAATGAATCTGAAATATATGAAAGTTTCATTTTTATCATTACATTATGGAAAATAATGACCTTTATCACAATATGCTAATTTTTTTAGAAGGACCTATACATATACACATATATATACACACATATATATACACATATATATATATATATATATATATATATATATATATACACACATATATATACACATATATACACACACATATATATATACACACACATTGAAAAAGCAACACATTAAAGATATCACTTCATCACTTGATCTTGTCGAGGTCGGACGCTTTACCCCTCTCTTCCGTCTGTGAAACTGCTTCTGAGCCTGTCTTGCATATCTTCCGAACCATAATTATGGACTTGATTAAATCAGCTGGTCCCTCAACACAGTCAATAATGTTTCTTCGAAAAGAAGACCGGCTTTAGGCGAGCCGATTTGCCCTGTTGGCATGCACGCAGCTGGATAGCTCATCGACTTGAAGATGTGTCTATCTCTGCTGCCATTTGTGGATTTTAAGGATGCGTATTTAATTGGATTTAGGATAACTAATTACTGCTTTTTGGATTTGGCTGGTTGCTGGTTTTATCTACAATCAAGGAAGTCGTCGGCAGCAAATTGGGACCCAATCACGCCGCTTGCCTTAATGATGGCTTGGTTCGTGCCTCGAGTACCCAGACTCAAATGCTTTGGGCAGAATGGATCAGATATCGGGGATTTTACTCAGGCACGTTCCATCTGTGTCGCCATGTAATTTGGACATTTCAGAACCGTTTATACCAACACAGACTCAACACAGATGTCATTAAGTTCTGCCTGTCCCCAAAACAACGGTATGTTTTATCTGAATTTGGCTCCCTTGGCTGGCCTCGAAGGCCACCTTATCTGAATTTGCCTGGAGAACAAGTGATCGACGCTCACAACTCCGAGGAATTTCCAACTGATAACCAAAGGAAACCAGCCCTCGAGAGTGTCCATGAACATTACTCACAGCTCTCGTCGTCTCCCCCCTCTGTGGAATGTCTATGTCACTATGTGCTTGTTTGTGCGAGGTGTTTTTTAAAATTAAAGAGTTTTTCTTCTCAGCCAAGAAGAAAAAGTCTGATAGGAATTTTTTCGCCTCCAATTTTTACGTGTCCAGTTTCACTACTTTTTGTTTATCTAAACATGCAAAGCCGCGTACATACGCCTGCTTGCTTTTCTACGACCTGCTTTCCTGTTCGTAATTGGTCAAGGCAACACAAGCTTCAATATGATTGGATGTAATCCCTGTCTGTAAACTAAAATTGAGCTGAGGCGGGCTGGCAGGCCGTCTCGGTCTTAAGCCAGAAATCCGCCCCCCC